GATCCCCTATGATAACAAATCAAGAAATTCCTTGAGTCTTTCTTAGTTCCAGAATGGCACTTTTTTGTTGCACCTTTGGCTACTAGGTATAATAATAATTGTTAGCTTTACCCCTACCGTTGCTGTGTGTAAGGCAAGGAGAAACACACTAAATATTCTCAAGATATTATAACTATGGCAAGTTACGGAAACCAAAGGCCCCTAGTCCGTGGCAGATCTTAGATAGTCAAGGGGTGCTAAGAATCCCCACGACAAATGCTAGGAACCACGCGAAAGTGGAGAACAAAAATAACAAGTTAAAAATTGGAACCTAGAATGCAAAATCTCTTTTTATGCCAGGAAAATCTCATAACATCGTGAGAGAAATGGAAAGAATGGGAGTCAACATTCTCGGAGTCAGTAAAGTTAGATGGCTTGGATCTTGATAGACAAACATCGATAACCATGTAATATACTATGCTGGTACTGACAATCCTCATCATTATAACGGAGTGGCATTTCTAGTTGACCAGAAAAGCGGTAATATATAGTATAAAGAACTTTATACCTATATCTGATAGAGTAGCTATGCTGCAAATTAATACCACTACTCGTAATATTAACTTTATCAAGTATATGCTCCTACAGCAGAAAAACCAGAAAGAGAAAAACGAGAATTCTACCAAAAGATCAAACAGCTAATAAAGATCAAAAAGAAAAATGCTGTAAACGTTATAATGGGAGATTTTAATGCCAAGGTGAGGGGCGGACTGAAACGTAGTAGGGCCAAAAAAATGATAGAGGAGAAATACTGGTCCAATTTTTCTAAAAAGAAAATCTAATGATCGCAAACACCTGGTTTAAACAACCAAAAAGAAGATTATATACATGGAAAGCACCTCGCGATAATCAAAACCGCATATAAGAAACCAGATTGATTATATATTATTTGACAAACGTTATAGAAATGGAATCAGGAGAGTTAAAACATATCCTGGGATGGACATCTGACCCGACCACAATCCTGTTATTGGTAAAATTTCAATTAAACTAAAAGAAAATCAAATACATATAGAAGATAAAACCTAGTCTCGAAAAACTTAAAGATCCAATAGTATAGGCAGAAATAGAGAAAACACTTAATGATACACTCAAAGAAAAGTTCAGTGAAGCACACGCGGAAGCAGAAGAAACAATAAAAAGTATTTGGCACACCTTCAAAACAACAATCACAACTATACAAAGAGAACAACTACAAGACAACATATATATATATATATATATATATATATATATATATATATATATATATATATATATATATCCGGTTTTTTAGGCGTTACGCCTGTCCGGTAGGGATCTATGGAGGAGTATCACCGAGCCGCAAGCCCTTATCTCTTGCCGTACTGCTCCACCCATAGGCCGATCAGATCCCAGCATATCCTAGTCTAAGCCGCAGATTCATCTAGAATTTTAAACTGCTGCGTTAGACTTTTTGTTTTCTGTACACCGAGCTTGGGCTCGATCCCACATCCACTAAACCATTCGACAGTGAAGCGAATGAGAGGCAGCCGCACAGCCCGCTGAGCTATCTGACCGACTACAAGACAACAACAGAATCAAAATAAAGAATACATGGATGACAAAAGAAGTCCTAGAACTGATGGACATAAGGAGATCTTACAAAAATCGCAATGAAGAAAAATATAAAGAAACCCAGAGAATTATCCGAAACAAAATCAGGAGAGCCAAAGAAGAATGGATGAGCAGCAACTGTGAGGAACTGTGAGATTTACTAAAAAAGCAGGACTACTTAAATGCATACAAAAAGATTAAGGAAGTCACAAATATAAAGAAAAAAATCACTAAAACAACTTTAGTAGATGATAACAACCAAATAGTATCTAGTCCAGAAATTGTAGGTGATATGTTGGAAAAATACATCAAAGATCTGTTTGATGACGAGAGAACAGAACCACAAATGAATATAGTACAAGAAACAATACTTGATATATTAACATCGGAAGTTACAAAAATATTCAATACAGCAAAGCCATGAAAAGCCTCAGCTTGTAACGAAGATATTTTGCCTACCACATGGGGTAAGATTATGGGGTATAAAATTGGGGACTGAAACTAAAGGGGTGGGGATAAGGCAAGCAAAATAATCACTACTTGTGCGAACAGCACTCAGGGTTTGGTAGGAGAGCTGGGGTCGTAGATAAGTAAAAGATAAGGGAATTGGATTGGGCAACTACAAAAAATGAAATAAAGGGGTCATTAATCTCTTGGGATAAACAAAATAAAAATAAACAGGAAACACCTCAAGGAATTTAATATAGGGTGCCACTTGAGGTGCCTAATTATACCTATTACAACCACTAGTTGTAACTAGGAAAATAATTATAAAACATCTTTTTCAAATAGAACTCAAAAAAGGGTTAGTTAAAAAAAATAAACAAAAAGTTAAGAAAACAAAATTCAACATTTATTTTTGTGTCACCACAAACAGTTACAACATGGAGAAATACAAGAATACAAAAAACTTACGTGTGTCATCCGCTTACAAACTCCAGAAGTTGGAGATACTACATAAAACTTACAAATGTTACCGCATTACAATTTTTAAATGTTACAATTTCTAAATTTTAACGAAAGCAATTATGTTCTAAAAAAATATCTGTCTTTACTTTTAAATTAAACAAACAATAAACAGTTACTTGGATTCACATATTTCCACTTAACGAAAAAAAAACTTGTTACATCTCTGGAGTATCTATCCGGACATCATCAGCGAAGAACTTTATCCATTGGGGGCTGGAACTAGCACACTTGGAAAAACTGGAATTCTCAAAAAAATAGGAACTAAACTTGTTTAACTTTTCAACAGGAACTAGACTTTTCAAACATCTTTAAATATCGATCGAAAACTCCACTAATTTTAAAAACAAAAACAGAAAACTACAAATTTGACGACGAATTCGGATCCATACCTGAGCCTGACACTACGACGACCCAAGTATGAATTTAGATCCTTACCTGACACTACGACGACCCAAGTATCAATGACGAATTTAAAAATTCGTTCATATAACTTGAAAATAAACAAAACGCTGAAATAGCAAAACACAACGAAACGACGTAGATATCGTTTTGCGATGTATAAAAATTATAATGCGACTTCGAATAAAACATTAAAAGAAATTGCCGAAAAAGTTAAAACAATAAACAACTCTAAAATGGTTTTTATAGCATCTTCAGCGACACTTTATCAAAATTAGAGGCTATCCAATAATTGTATGAATGTCATAAACATTAAATAATAGTTTTACATAATTAATCATGATTAATTCTCTCTCCTGCTGTCACTCACTATGTAGCTTTTTCAAATTAAAAAAAATAAACTATTTGTCGTTTGTCTAATGTTATGTAAATGTATTATTTAATGTTTATAACATTTATAAAATTGTTGGATAACCTATAATTTTGACTAAGTGCCCTTGAAGTTGCTCTGGGAGCGAAAATACTTGGGCAAGATTTAATCAAATCTGTGCTCGATATCTGGCTTTTATTTGATAAAAGTTCGTTTATTCGAGCATTCAACCATATATCCCTTTATATATCAATTCTCTATCAATACCCAAAATACCTTGTAATTAGCCCTGGTAAACCTAATGCAAATTCTTCCGAAGCTGCCTTACTATGCTGAAGGTTCCCTTGATTGGAATCATTGAGACTTCTGTGGTGATTTTGAAGAATATCTTTCCAATGCTTCAATACGCTTTAAAATGAGTAGCCCTCAAAAATGTGTAAAAAATTTTAGAGGTCAAGAAGCCTAAGATTTTCTTTGTTTTTTCGCGATATTCTGATATTTCAACAACCACGCCTCCGTCTTAAGGTCTTAATTTTGTTTCCTTAGGCAGGTCCCGATAATTTATTTTTCAGTCTCTTTCGCAGGGGCATGGGTAGGGACTATGGGGCGCTTAGGCATTTTATTGGATTTACTACAGTCAGGTCTACTCCCTCCTAGAGGCCCTTTGTAGTCCTCACTACATTAACATTCCATTTTTTGATATATTCGTAAGCACAAGCTAAGTACTCACCTACTCACAGAGGCTCTGCGCTTAACATTGTGTTAAAGAAATGTAGAAGTTGATTCTCACTTTCGATAAGAGCCTTATCCACTGCTTGTTTCAGTTTGTTCATGATCAGTGCTGCTTGACCCTAATCTAGTTGAGTATTAGCATGGTGTCTGTAGACTACTGCAATCTTGAATACTTTTGTTACATTGTTGTGACCTAGCCTGCTAGTTAAAGTTCCCTGACTTACTAAGCAACTCTTTGTTATGAGGTGGGTGTTATGGTATTCTATAGAAGTACTTTTGACACTCGGGTTCTACCATTTCCGCCACTCTGATTTTGAATAGTTTTTCTGTGGTCCACGTTTCAGAATCTATCTCTGCTTATTTTCTGATCTTCTTCCTCTAAGCCCAGATAGCCGTTTGTTAATTGACTCAGGCTCATTGACAAGTTTATGACTCCCGAAATATCCCTGGCTCAATATTTGAAGCAGTTTTACCTATCGTCAAACTTTTGAAAGGAATATTTAATTAAATAGAAATACTAAAGTAAATAATTTTTTGCAAGTTTTAAAAACAAAATTTTATACTCGAAAAGTTTCAAAGGATACAAATAAAAAAGGTATGTTAATATTTCTAATGAACTAAGAAATAAAAGGATTTATCATTAAGCCCTGCTGCAAATTGGTCGTGATCAACAAAAATATATCTCTTTATTTTTATTTTGTATTAAGCTAGATCTTTTGAGATAAAAATAATAAAAAAATACTAATCTTGTTATATATCTGTATATATAAAAGAATAAAACGAATTCAAAATTATTCCCAATGACTAATTGAAACAAATATTTCTCTTCTTCTAGTTCTGCCCACTGCACATCAACAAAGAGTCGTCCCTACGCAGTAGCAGTTTTCAATAATTTAACGTATTTATTTTATTTTAGATTTAGCATCTGTACAAACATCTTCAGGACAAAATACTCCAAACCACGTCAACTTCAGACCAAATCATCATAATCAATATATCGAACCCGTGGAAATTCAAAAGCGATCTCTACTTGCAACTGTTAGGTCAAGTCACACAAGGGGACGCTGTAGACAGGGAGCTGTGCGACAAACGCTGGCCGATGTTATTATTCCTATTTGTCCTACACACTCTCATCATGGAGTGCCTATGAGAAATTCTATCAACTCCTCAATCGAGGGTATTGCAGCCACTGCAGATTTAGAGGAAACTGAGGACACTGATGAAAATGATCAAGCCATGTAAGAATTATGAAAAAAAAATTATCTAGTATTTTTAAGTTTTAATTTAATTGTCCTATTTAATACCTTTGCCATGAACTAGTCTCTCAAATTTTGAATCCATGAAATTCTTTTACGGCAAGGATTCCTTTTTCTTTCTATTTTACCTTACATAATATTTTAAAGTAGTAAATAATGTTTCTCTTCTTATGAAATATCCAAAATTTTGGAACTTTCTTCCCTTTATATTTTTATATTGGTCACTCAACAAATCACCTTATCTTTAATATCCGATGATAAAAGCACGTCTCAAAACTCTAACTATGTTTTATATTATTCGGTTTGAGATTTCAGACCTCTAGTGCATACAGTAGTCAGTCGGTAGTAAGTAGCATTCGTAGCATAATCTCTTATTAAACTCGTTAAAGCTTCTATATTATTATTATTATCCAGATTTAGCGATAAGGCTCACACTCCCTCTAAGGAGAAAATTCACTCATCCCAGATACCTACGGTATCAAAAGGATTGAGCTCTGGTGGGACTCTTTCTGTGTTATTGAGTCCTAGAGTGACTTGATACGTCGGTGGACGTATCTTTTTGATTTTTTCTAGGTTTTTCGGAATGAGTCCAGTAGTAGAAAGAATAACAGGTATTTTCTGCGTACTACTTTCCATTTTCCATTGTCTCCTTATTTGTATTTCAAGATCTCTGTACTCTCCGTTGTATTTAACACGCAGATTACTGATGTTGGGTTATCTCGTTAGTTTATTAACTAGTATGATATCCGATCTATTATTTGCTACTGTTTGGTCTGTGATCACAGTGCGATCCCAGTATAGCTTGTAGTTGTCATTCTTAAGCATACTCTCAGAAACGTGTTGGTAATATGGAAGATGGTGTATTTAAAGTAGTCGTAGTTTGAAAGCTATCTCGTGATGAAGGATCTTCCCTACTTACTTGTGTCGTTCCTTATATTCGGTAGCAGCAAATGTCTGGTAGCCCCCTGTAAAATGTTGGATGGTTTTTTGGGCTTGACATACATATCGGCTGTCGTTTTGGACTTGAATGGCAAGTAATGAACCTTCTGTTTCAGGAAACATCAAGGTGCGCATTTTTTCGTGGTTTATGCGCATGTTTGGTTCCCTCAGTTTAATCGATGTTGTGTTATCTAGTGCGCAAATCGCGCGATGTGAAATAGATATCCCAGCCTGCATCTGAAAATAAATTCTTAAATTAGTAATCTGTTTTTCTAATTGCTCACTTCTATCAATAAGTCCTTGTTATCCTAAATACTGCGGCAATGCTGTTTTTTCTACTGCACTTCAAGGATGGTGTTTTTGTGCCTTTGTGAGGTGTGTTTGTACTTTTTGCTAAAGAGTTTCTATATCTGCTTTAGTTCACTTAATAATACCAATGCGATAATACGTATGTGTTTAGTACCTTAAACAAATTTTTGTACATTTGTAATTGTCATTTTTCACCCATAGCCTCGATGTTTTGCCCATTTTGCATATCGAATCCTCCGGGCGGAACGTGTCGTCTGACTATATTCAAAACACGGCACTTGTCTAGCCCGACGTGCATACTAAGACTATTAGAAAATGTTTCTACAGGTCTTAGCATCTAAGTGATTTCGAGTGGAAGATCTTAGTTTAAAATTAAGCTTCCACCAGAGTATTGTTGTTTTTAATCCTAAAACCTGAGTCAGTGCAGTTTATTAGCTGTACTAGTGGGTTCACCGCTGAACAAAACCATAATGGACTCAACGAGTCTCCTTGGAATAGGCAGCGCAGCGGTTAATTATTATATTTTCCGTTACGATATTGCTGTCACTAGATATCTGAAGATGAGTTGCCTGTTTAATGTATCTACAAGTCATTTATGCAGCTCAAAGGCTTTCAATTTTTGTCTTTCGATCTGAAATTATGTTTTAAAAAGGTCACTGTGATATCATCGACTTTCTATATTTTTATAAGCCATTGATGCGGCACTGAATCGAACGCTTTCTTGTAGTCAATGTAGGCAGTGAAGAGGTTCCTTTTTTGGTATATACCTAGTTTGAAATGATTGAGTCAATAATAAGTTAATTGTTGCAGCCCATGGAACCCTTAGCGTATCATTTCTGTTGAGGGTCCATGATATTGTTTAGAGAGCAGTGTTGGTAGATACGCTATGTTACACAGGATGTGACCAATTTATAAAAAGTTTAAAGATAGATAATTCGGCGGTACATGCTAGATTTTGAATATTATTTTGATCCTCAAGTATCAAATAAGTTGTTCCCTGAGTTAAGAATGATGATATTAGAAATAACATGATTCTTTGGTGTTGATAAGCATTCCAGAACTTCTCAAGCCAGAAGTTTTGAACTCTGTCTGGTTTCCAGTTATAAAGCTCTTTAATGATATTGGAGACTTCTTCTGTGGTGAAGAGTTGTTGAAGAGTGTTGAAAGTTATACGTTATATCTTCTATCCATCTAGCATTAGTGTTAAGAGCAGCTTATGTGGAAAGTTAATTTCCGAAAAACTCCTTAAGTCTCCTTATTTCCTAAATATCTTCTTGGCTTGGGTATGATTTATTGGTATTGATCTTCAACTCGTTGTTTGGATATTTGAATTTTCTGGGTACTCCCTGCAAAATTCGGCATATAGATTTTGTCGATACCCGATAATTTCTTGACCGAGGTTTGTCACCTGCTAATAGAAGCACATAATATTTTTATTCATGGATGCAGTCTATTTTATGCGATGCCTCGTTCGTCCCGCTTGGGTTAACGCCGGCTGGTGTTTCAGCGCAGCACCATCTTTTATGGAACGTATTGATAAATGCATTGCAGAAAATGGTAAACATAACGAACGCTTGCTTTGACAAAAAATTATTAAATTTAACTATTACTTAATTTGGTATGTTAATAAAATGTATTTTATTTTGACTTTAATTTAATATAAAACGTATATTGCCAAATTCTATAACACTTTATTAATTATGCTACTGATGTATGTAAAAGAATATTAGCCTATACCAGGGGTCAGCAAATTGTGGCTCGCGAGCTGTGTGCGGCTCTTTGGATGTGAAGCTGCGGCTCTTTAGTTCCACACGCAAATATTATATATTTTACCAAAAAAAAAGTTTTAAGAAGCCTTCTGAATTGATTACCGATGATTAGACACTGATACTGATCCTCTCAGTTACTTGTAGTCGCTTCCCACCGCACCCCTCCATCGTGACACGCGACGTCAGTGTCGTCAAAAAGTACAGACTGTGCCGTGATAAACACACAAGTACAAGATAAAGTAGCTAAAATGTCTTCAAATGGAACATATTTGCAGGTGGAAGATATTCAACTTTCTTTCGCCTTATCAGTTGTTATAGATGAGTCTTGCGATAAAAGACACGGCACAAGTTGCCCTTTTTGTCAGGTATATGTCTTTCAAAGGTCCCAAAGAAAAACTTCTGGGATTGCTACCGTTCTCGGGATAAACTAGAGCGGAAGATATAGCGCATGCCGTGCAAAAATACCTTGAAGACAATGAGATCGATTCAAATAAAATCGTTTCAATAGCAACTGATGGAGCTAGAAGTATGACAGGAAAAAACAAAGGGGTAAAAACGATTTTTCAAATCAAATTAAATCACGAAATTCTTACGTTTGTCCTGCATAATACACCAAGAATCGCTTTGTGCCCAAACATTTCCAGACGAAATAGAGTTTGAGGTCATGAATATGGTCCTATGTCAAGATTGTTAATAGCATCTTGTCAAAAGTACCCTATCATCGTCAGTTTAAAGAATTCTTAAACGAAATGCAGGCTTAATATTCCGAACTCCTTCTTCATAATAAAGTGCAATGGCTTTCCAAAGGTACGGTGTTGAAACGTTTTGCTTTGTGCTTGAATGAAATAAATACATTCCTAAATAAAAAAATGCATCAATCACCCTGAATTGGGGAAGGACAAATGGCTGCAAAAATTTTACTTTATGGTGGATATCATAGCGAAATTAAATGAGCTGAATCTAAAACTGCAAGGAAAGGGAAACCCAGCCTATGTTTTGGTGAAAGAATTGGTTTGTTTTGTTGTTGTTGTTGAAGATATTTAGAGCGGTAAAATACTTCATTTTCAATTTCTAAAGCAATATCACGATAAAACCAGTACAACTGTTGACACTAATTACTTTAGTGCAGTTACAAAAATAATTAAAGATGAATTTGCTGGCAGATTTGAACAATTAAAAACCAGCTATACTACTTTAGCATTCATAGTAAATCCTCTTAATACAAATAGTAACGAAATTCACGTTGAGCCATTTGGCATTCATACTGGATCTTTAGAAATGCAATTGATCGATTTAAAAAGTAAAGGTTGATGGATTGGAAAATTTACAGAATTGAAAAGCAAGTTGGAAGAGTTGGAAGTCCAGAAATGTATGTACGTAACGCAAAAAAAGTGGACAGCTTTAAAAGAAATGCCGCAAATTGATGGACTTATATTCGACGCATGGAATAGTCTTCCAGATTGCTACAGTGAGGTGAAGAAGTTGGTATTTGGAGTACTAACTACCTTCGGATCGATATATTCTTGCGAGCAAGCGTTCTCTTGCATGAATATAATTAAAAGTAAAATAAGAAGGCAACTAATAAATGAAAATTTAGAGTCGTGTTTGAAACTTAAAACAACAAGTTATGAGCCAGATTTATCCAAACTTTCTAAAACCATACAAAGCCAACGCTCCCATTAAGATTATTTGCACAACTATTTGTTATTAAAGTGCAAGTTAGTGCTATAAGTGAATATTTAATTGTTTTAATTTTTTACTTCAATAAATGAAATGTATGAAAATATATATATGAAAAACACTATAAACCTAGATATAAATAAATAGATTATTTTTTTTATCATTGAACTTTATTTATGCGAGTACTATTTATTGTTGACAAAAAAAAGTGTGGCTCTTTACAAACTTTAAAATGTTGTTAATTGTAATTTTTGGCTCTTTCGACTCTAAAGGTTGCCGACCCCTGGCGTATACCACTTTTTCTTTAATATATCAGAATCTATTAACTTTAGTTAAAGGTATTTTATATCAAAATTCAGAAATATTGATATTTTTATCTATTTTTCCTTCGTTGTCTGGAGTAATTGAGATAAATCAGTGTAATGGAGTTGATTTGTAAAATGCGATTATTTCCAAAACTGTTGAGTTTTAAAGTTTTGAAGAAGATTGAAGTTACATATTTATATAGATATTTATATATATTTATATATTATTAAATTTGTTGCTGTATCTTTAATCTTCTAAGGGCAGTTCTTAAATAAGAAGAACAGGAACAAATTGATTGATTTCACATAATTTACTTTTACCATACGGTGATTGATTAATACATTTATTATTCTTTTAGATGTACCCACGACACACCATCTCGTATGCCGCTGATTTGGAGTCCTCCAGAAACAAATAGTTCATCTTCCCAACCACCACCACCATCAGTGCCTGCTGTTCTCGTCCTTACAATGTTTATTACGTACGTGTGTGCTGGCGCGTTCGCCTTTTCTTCAACTAGTAGTAAGAGCTTCCTGGACGCTATATATTTTTGTTTCATAGCGTTGTCAACGATCGGTATTGGAGACACATTACCTCAAACTACAGACTTTCATGCCCAGTTGCAATTGTTGGCATGTTGTGTTTATATATTTTTTGGTCTTGTCGTAGTTTCGATGTGTTTTAGTTTGGTGCAAGAAGAAGTGACGTATAAATGTAGACAGATTGCGAATAACTTAGGATTAATAAAAAACTAACCGGCATCTGTGATTGAAATGTTTGTACTTCAAATAAAATTTATTTATAACTACCCTTGTTTTATTTACCTAACCTAATTTAATTTAATTAAAACTTTTAGTTTTTAAATACGGTTACCAGTACTATCAAAAATATTAAGTTTTGTACTGAATGGCATCACACAGGCATTTGCCACCATTCTGGCATTTGCTACCATTCTGGAATTTGCCAGTATTGTGTCAGTGGTAGAAAGTTGCTATATACTTTACATTTTGTTTTTACTATAAAATTAACCAATACCATATAAGGTATATGCTTTCTAGTGGCGTGATGCGGACAACAATACGTGAGCTTATAGGGTAGTCCATTTAGTAGAGATCAAGATCTTTACTGTATGGACCAGAAAGCTCCAAACGTGGAATAGTTAAAGTTTTGAGAGGATCGGCGCGCGTGTTTTGGCACATTACAAGTTTGAAGTAAAATTTCTCAATGTAACATAGCAACGTATTTGTATTGATGCAACGTAGGCGTGCTGCGAAGCATCGCAGAACTAGTGCAATTGTACTGAGGTTGAGTTGGGAAAAGACACTTGTCATGGTATTTTGATAGAGTTCAAAAAATTGCAATTGAGTATAGTATCTAGCCCAAGTCGTGTGTAAGTCAGCAGGTACAGTTTCATCCCATGATATTTTGAGCTTCCAAAGCATGAGAGTTTAATCTTCCAAAGCTCTTGGAGTATAATTTTAGCAATTTTATTTCATTCTGAAAGGATTAGTTGAACCACTAATCGAGTATTGTAGGTAATCAACATGGGGTCCCAAAGTAAGCCAAGTGTTTTGATTTGGTCACCTTTACCAATGTGCAAAGGGATCTGGCTAAAATTACACAATGAGGCTGGATCATTTGAAATTCATTTTCTTAATGGAAATTCGTAACTAAAAAGGAGACTAGTGACTAGATTCTTAATTTGTATAATCTCATTTACAGTTTCTGCACATGTTAGCAGATCGTCAACATACAAATCGTGTAAAATAATATCAGAAAATTTAGGAAATATATTCATGTTTTTTATGTGCAACCTCTTAAAGTGATCTAGTGGCAAGAGCAGAGGCAGAAGCTAATCGGTATATCACAGTGTTTAGTGTGTACACTAGAATGTTGTCATTAGCATTGAAGTGCCATAGAATCTTTTGCTGGTTGCGTTGAGATTTTTGTATCAGTACCTGACGTTACATTTTTGCTACGTCCGCGCTTCACACGTAGTTGTGTTTTCTAAAGCTCAGTAATATGTAGAATAAGTTGTCTTAAACATTTGAACCGACCAACACAAGGTCGTTAAGTGAAACATCGGTCGAGCTTTTAGCTGAACCATCAAAAACGACACGAAGTTTTGTAGTAGTGGATTCAGCCTTAAGCTCACAATGATCTAGAAGAAAAACACCATTTCTGTCATTTTGATCTTCTGTTGCTGCATATATGTGTATATCTGTAAATGTCCGACCCTTCTTTGGACATTTTGTGTTTATACCACTAACATAAATGAATATAAAAAACAACAACGAAATATTTGTGATATACTATCATCTGCACGGATGTATTTGTATTCCCTTTTGAGAACAAGATTCAACTTTTATTTTTATATCTATCAACATTATTGATACACTTGGCTCTTCAACAGAAGGTATGTAATACATACATCTTACCGGAGTGTTGATTACTATACACAACACTAAATACAAACCAAATAATTTATTAAACATGATTGCTCATATAGATCGGGACCTATATATACATATATATTTTTTGATTTTAATGGTGATTTTGTATGAAATTTAACAAAGTCAAATAATGTGACTAAAGAGTGTTAGTGTCTTATACTAACAAAAAGAAGAAGTGATTAAGACAGGTGCCGTTTTGATAAGTGACAGTCGATACGACACATAAAATAATTAACAATTGTCTTGTCAAAAATGCCGGCCACATGGTTATATTAAAATAGAATAAATTTAAATATTTAATTAAGGCTTTGTTTGCCATCTTCCTCTAGTTAAGAGATGCGATTGGTTTGTGTTTAAAAACAATGTGTAGTTCCACATCGATAATATTATACACTAATAAATAGTGTCAACATTAAGGTAATATTAAAAATAACATCTTTAATTATGATGATTATAAAGAATGCTTTTCCATTACAGCAATTTCTGATGAAGCCCAAAATTATGTAGCGAAAGCTTATTGTTATTTTAAAATAACATATATAAGTATAGGATTTTTATCACGGTTCTTAAAGAATTAGTTTGTAAGTACTTTTTTAAATTATCTTTATTATAACTATTATGAAACACACATATACAGTGTAGGTAAAAGTTTATGGTCGGTATGGTAAAATTTAACAGGATATCTAACGCAGATATAAAATCATATTTTCAGCGAATAGACAAAGATAACAATCACATTGCCCCTTGGTCTCCCCTCCATAAATATTTTTAACACTCATTGCTCATTCGTGAGACGAATAGTTCCGATCAGAGATATTTTACATATTCTCTGGTTCCGATCCTAATATATCTAAAAAACTAGAGGTAAATCCTCTCGTTTTTTAAATTTTTATCGGAACCATTTTTCGTAAACTGTAACTAGTTGATTGTTTACCAGTATTCAAATTAGCGAGTACACAAACATATTGGCTATTATCATTTATGTGTATAAGTATTGAAGTGAAAGAACCTAACGAAGGATATATTTCTTATGAAAAATAATTTAAACAATACAAATAGTACTTACATTTACATTACACATTATTAAATCGCGAATCGTCTAAATTGACATTTAAAAACAAGTTTTTCCACTTTTCTTGTTAACCGTGTTCTTCTTTTATTTAAAATTAAACAAAATTTAAAACATGTGTTCACAAGGAAAAGATTTTGTTACAATACTACAATTTTTTATGAATATAATGGTTAAGTTAGGATATACATGACGATGGTTTTTCCACCACGGTAATGGACAGTTCCAATCTCCGTTCGAAATTTTTTGTGGGTAATATATCATCAGAGAAATACATGTCGACTGTATCTCTCGATACATGTGTATATTTAGATGAGTCACGTCCAATTAATTCATCAAAAATACACCATGGACTTATCATCTTTATCAGTTTTTTTTTTCTTGTACTGGTTGATTTTCAAGATTTACTAAACTTATGCAAAGACTCGTTTCATCCGTTTTCCATAGGTGAAGAAACAGCTTTTAAAAAGTTTGCAGGGTGGATTTCTGGATATAAACTGCCAACAAGAAAAACTTTCAGGTTCATTACTTTAGGAATGTTATGTCAAAACTGATTTGATAATAGATAAAATAAAAAGTGCTATTTTCGACAATTCTGCAAAAAACACATTTAAAAAAAAGTACCTTATCTTCAGAAAGGCTTTTAAAGTATTAATTACAACATAACAAAGTTCCCAAACGGCCAATCCAAGACATGGAAACTAGGTAGAACTTCATCTACTACATGTTAAAAAAAATGACCGAGTTAGAAGAGGCAATCTGTTCCACATGGGTATTAAATAATACAGACTTAGACTTAGACCAAATCTAAATAAATAACACTGGATTATTTGTTCTCAGCTTTCCAAATTTTACGGCCGTTTAAAGAAATAACAAGTACAATCATCATCATCATTATCAATCAGCCAATCGCGTCCACTGCTGGACATAGGCCTCCCTCAGTTCTTTCCAGTGTTCTCTACACTGGGCCGCTTGTAGCCAGTTTCCCGCTACACGTTTAATGTCATCGGTCCATCTAGTCGGTGGTCGTCCTCGGCTTCTTTTATAATTTCTGGGCCTCCATTCCATAATACGTCTTGTCCACCATCCATCTTGTGTTCTGGCTAAGTGCCCTGCCCAGTTCCACTTAAGCGTCGTGGTTCTTTCGATGACGTCTTGAACTCCTGATCTTCGCCTGATTTGTTGGTTTGTTATGTGGTCTCGAAGGCTCACGTTCAGCATTGCACGTTCCATGGCTCGTTGTGTAACTCTAAGTTTATTCGCAGATTTTTGCGTGAGTGTTAAAGTCTCTGCTCCATAAGTTTGTACAGGTAAAACACATTGGTTATAAACCTTTCGCTTGAGACACATGGGAATTGAACTTTTTAGAATATGGCTTAATTTGCCAAATGCTGCCCATGTTAGACCTATTCGCCTCTGTATTTCATGTGTTTGATTGTCTCTGCTTATTTTGATTTCGTGTCCCAGATATTTGTAAGTGTCTGTTTGTTGTATGGTATTATTGTCAATAGTTATATTTCCACTCATTACGAGATTTGTTATAATTTCAGTTTTCTCAAAGTTTATCTTTAATCCTGCTCTTTCAGACAGACTTTTAAGCGAATGCCTCATAGAAACTGTATCATGTAAGTTATCTGCGATTAATACAACATCATCTGCAAACCTTGGGTGATTTAATCTTTCTCCATCTATATTAATGCCCATATCTTGCCATTGAGTACCCTTAAATATTGACTCTAGAGCTGCCATGAACAATTTTGGTGAAATATTGTCTCCTTGTCTAACTCCTCGACCTAACCTGAATTTTTCTGTGTCTTCGTGCAGTCGTATACTTGATGTAGCGTTCTGATAGATGTTTTTGATTAGTGTCGTGTACCTGTAATCTATTCGGCTTTGATTTAGGGCTTCCAGTATTGTTTCAAACTCTACAGAATCGAAAGCCTTCTCGTAATCGACAAATGCAAGAACCAGTGGTATGTTGTACTCGATGCACTTTTCTATTAAGATCTTTATGGTATGCAAATGGTCATTTGTGCCATATCCTGCCCTGAAGCCTGCCTGTTCTTTGGGCTGATAGAAATCAAATTTAGGTGTTAGCCTCAGTAGATATAGTACACAGGATCTGGCGCAACCCCTAAATTGCAACCCCTAAAATCGCAACCCCCGGTCGTAAGTTCCAAACGGCTAAACGTAGGATGACGTACGAGGGCTCGTTGGAAAGGGGATGAAAAAT